CCAGAAGACCTATACAATTATTTTTCTTTTTGATTTTTTACCTGGATTACTGAGATGCATCAGGACATTAATCGATTATTAAATTAATCGTTAGTTGCAGCCCTAGAGTTGTCAGTCCTGGTTGGTGAAGTGAACAAGAGATGGAAGTAAAGCTGTTTTGCAGCTTTTAGTTTACMACTCATTGAACATGGTGGATGAGGCGATCATTATCAGTGAGCTAACATGTATTTAGACATGATCAGTGGTCGATATCAGGGGGTCTGTTTAACTCAGCAGTGTGTGCTTAGACATTTTCTGCCTGATCAGACTCTTTCAGAGCTGCAGTGAGTGCAGAAAATAACTTAAAGACACTTTAACATGGTTACTGAGTTTCTTACTGTCATAGCAAAACAAATGTAAGTGAGACAGCTTGTTGATTTTTATAAATTAAATATCAAAATGTTAAACAAAACATTTCATGGCTCTCACACGATCCTTTGCCCTAGTGGAAGACATGGGATTTCAGCCTTAAGTGGAAAATTTTCTACAGACCCAATTATTCTCAAAGCATTCATCACACARGAACATCAGCCTCTATCTGAGCTGAAGAGCTGTCTCAGTTTGACCGGACATCAGAGCGTAATCAGATAAATTGTACAAGACCATTCTGAAAAACAAGTCACCACATCTGATTTGCTTCCATTAAAACCAACTTCGTCTCCGTTAACAACCCGGTGGTCTCTGGATGTGCATGTAATGTAAATGAAACAGCAAACATCATTGTGAATAAATCAGAAACTGATTAAATCCACAGAGAAATGTTGAAAATGCCTGAATTATTCAAACCGTGTTCTGTGAAAACAGGGCGGCAGCCATTAGATATTTGGGTAATCAACAGCTAATCTATTGAATAACTCATCAGCTAATAGAGTGTTTATATAAACAGTACATGTGCTACATCAGCGATTTCCAACCTTTTCATCTGGAAGCCTAAAATAAAAGCTGCGCTCACCTTTCAGCCGTCAGAACCACTTCATAATATTTGTTTTTAGAMAAAAAAGTTAACGATTACCTGGATCATACCTCTGTTGAGTGCTGAAGTGTCAGCATGTTTGTGACATGTTGGTTTATATTTATTGCAACAATTATTTATTTTTTTAATTAACCTTTCATATAATGTCAGTGTCAAATTTATTTGTAAAGCACATTAACAACAAAAGCTGACCAAAGTGCTTCACAGCTCAGTCAAGACATCAGAAAACAAACAAATAATAGATGCAAATACAGAAACACAATATATGAAAAAGCTCTAACCGAACCTTCAAATCTTAAACATAAGCCAAAGAAAATAAATTGGTCTTCAGCAAAGATTTAAAAGCCTCAACAGTCTCTGCTGACCGAATATTAAGWGGTAAACTGTTCCACAGGAGCAGCTATTGCCATTGAGATCACAGTTCAGACTATTGAACATGTTTTTGGTCTGTGGGAGGAAACCAGGGTACCTGGAGAAAACCCACACAAGTATAAGGAGAACATACAAACTTCACAATGACCCCATGTCTGAACCAGGAATCAAACCCAGGACCTTCTTGTTGTGAGACATCAGTGCTAACCACTGATCCATCGTGCTACTCTGACAAGTACATGGACCTGAGCGGGAATATGGTTGAAACTCTGTGTGCCTGCCTGAGCGCAACAGCTCGTCCTTTGACAATCCAAAGCTTCTGGAAATTTTTCTTTGTTACTGAATCAGTTTGACGACAGACAAACTCATCATCATAGCAGAGACATTATGTCCAATATCATGTGCTGGAAACGTAAAAATCTAATATAAGAATGTGTAAATATCAACAAAACAGGTATTCATTTTCTCTCGCAGCTTGATCCAGATTGATGTGTAAACGCACGCAGTCTCCTCCACCTGCTGTGTCCATAGAAACAGACCCTGTTTGACAGTTTTCTAACTGTGTTCTGCTTTATGCAGATTGATTCAGGAAGCTACGTCCTCTTTCTGGTCTCATAAAGTCTGATTGTGCCGGTGGAAAATACCAGTTTATCTAAAATCTCATTAGCTTTTGGCACACAGTTGCTGCTAAGTTGTGTTGATGTAGTGAGTTTATTCAGTTTTACTGTAGGCCTTTTTATTTTTCTTCTGTTTGATATAATCCCAAATGTTCAGCCTTTTGGATATTTTTCTCCTTTTTATTTCCTGTCTTCTTCCATCTCTCACTGAGCATTGCACAGCCACATAGGTAAAAATGAAACATCGAATTAAATATTTTTACCTCAAGGATTATTTTGTATTTGAGTTTCTGATGTAAGCTGATGAATAATTTCAGCTCTAAAAGGTTTTTGATGAAAATACCCAAAGTTTTTCTGCATTTATTGTTTAAAGCAAGTTAGTGTTTAAAACCTGTGCTTGTTTTTGTAGGAAGGAAAATAATTTCTCTTATGTAGAAAATGTTCATATCTTAGATTCAACAGAAAGAAGTTCAATACGGAAGAGGATTGGGCCACAGACAGAGCTGTCAAGTAACTAAGTACAAATACTTTGTTACTTTACTTAAGTAGTAATTTTGATTATTTATACTTTAGTGGAGTACAACTACATTTTTCAGCCTACTTTTTACTTCTACTTCTTATATTTTAATTCAATTATCTGTATTTTATACTCCTTACTTTTTAAAAATGCTAAAAGTATTTCATTTCTTTTTAACTTTGACTTGCTTTTATTCCATCTTTTCATTGTTCAGAAAAAAAATTAATAAAAATAAATCTATCCAGACACATGGAGCCCATGGATAGAGTGAGTTTGATTGTGATTGGATGAGAAGTGTAAATATTTAACATCCTGACATCCTATTGGATTGAACTCACTCCATCACACCTGTGTGACACAAATTACATCACACTCCAGCTGGACAGACTGTAGCACAGTGATTTCCAACCAGGGGTACAAGTACCCCTTGGGTTAGGTGAGCATATTACGGGAGTACGTGGAGGTGCTCAAAAAATTAAGTAAAAATAGCAATGCGGAAATTATGGATTTGACACAAAATAGAATCCAGTATAAAAAGCAGAATCTCACAGAATTTGCTCATTTGGGTGAGTTTGTGATGTATTTTGGATGGTACAATGTATTTTGGATGTTGCTGTTTTCTGCACCTGCCATTACCTGGCTTACTCATTTAATTTCTTATTCACTTTCAAGGCAACATTTTTTATCTTTATCTTTAATCTTTCTTTGAAAAGAATAAAATGCCTGAGAATTAAATGTTCTAGGGGGTTAAATAAATAATTTTCATTTAATAAACAGTTGTTGTACATTATAGTTGTGGAGAATCATTCTTACATTTGACTGAAGGGGTACTAGTGGTATTACAAAATGGTTTGGGGTAAACAAGTCTAAAAAGGTTGGGAACCACTGAGGTAGAAGATGTAGCCTAGCATGAAGATGACCGTGGCTGAAACAGTAGTCCAGCCTGGCCTTTGCCTTCCCACGCAGATCCGCTCAATTTTAGTTTCCCTTACCAGGCTAAGTCTGGTCAGTTAATTCCAAATTTTTCAACATTTTAGTTTAACATTATACTCATTATTGACTTTAGAAGAAAAAATGTGTGTGTGTGTGTGTGTGTGTGTGTGTGTGTGTGTGTGTGTGTGTGTGTGTGTGTAATGAGCAGCTCTGACAAGTTGTCTGACAGCTGCTGCA